AGTGAGAGAGATGACCTAATACCCTGTAAAAAGCAATGAAGTCATACTACCTGACTCATATTCCCAACTGACACCAGCCTTTCCAATCACAACACCCCAGTTTGTGTGTGTGTGTGTGTGTGTGTGTGTGTGTGTGTGTGTGTGTGTGTGTGTGTGTGTGTGTGTGTGCGTGTGCGCTTGTGTATGAGAGTGTGTGTGCGTTTGTTGTTAGAGGGTGAGGTAAATGTGTGCGTGTCAACAGCTTCATGCATGTCAGTATTTCACTGCAGGGGAACAAAGCTACAGAGATGTTTGTTGAACCAAGGAAACACTGAAACAATAAAAAAAATCACAAAATTAAATTGCATCAACAGTGACTTTAATAATGGATTTTGTTTTTTTGTAAATTTGTCAAACTCTGGTTCTAGCTTCTCTAATGTGAAGCTGTGCCGTTTGATTCTGTATCATATCATTATAGAACATCTTATGGACCATTTATCGAGAAAAAACAAGCAATATCCACATGTCAAGTTGGGCTCATGGACATCAGCATTTTTCACTATTTCAAAAGGCTAAATGTTGAATTTGCTGATGAAAAAGACCAATAGATGAATCAATAATAAAAAACGGTTGTAGCCCTATGACATACAGCCACAGATGGAGATAAGGCAGCCCTCTGAGCTGTCTCACTCACACAGACAAACAGGAGTAAGTGTACTCATGGGTCACACTGCTCACTGAGCAAATCGTAAAGCATTGTAAAAATGAAAAAGCATACCCAATAGAAGTTTAAAATCTGTGAGATTAACATACACTTTGAACTCCACTTTTTCTGATATTGAAAGCAGAGCTTGGTGTAGAGATTCTTGCTGACGTACGACAAATATGGAACCGAGTTTGTGATGAAAAGGCCTCTTCATCAGGGTCCCTGCATGGGGCTGAACCTGCAGGAAAAAAAACCTGAGAAAGAAACACTCTACGTGTGATGGGTTATTTTCATTTCAGTTGTACTTCCTCTCAAAACCCGATTTTTCATCTGTTTTATTAAACTATTGTTTGCTTGTTTTGTATTTTTGTTTTATTGTATCAGGATTATGTGCAGTCTGTCTGTAAGAACTTATGTTGCTGCTGCCCTAGCCTCAGTGGAAAAAGCTTACAACCAATAAAAACAAACATAAATGAGCAGCCAAATAAAAGAAGAACAACAATAGAGGAGGGAAAACCCCAAACACAAGTGGCCTCTGGACTTAGTGTTATCTGGTCAGCTGATCAACTTCAGGGCTCTCGTCAGCTTTTAAGCACAAGATGTGGTATCATTTGCATGCAGTCTTACATCATCCCTGAGAGCCCGCTCACTATGGCATCAGCACGTGGTGCTTAGCCAACATGTCCCTTTGTGCTCCCAGAAGCCTCATTCAAGAGACAGCGGGGCACCACAAAAGTATTGAAAAGGACATCTGGCCATGGAAGTCAAAGGGATGTCCTTTAGGGATTCTTAGACGTGTCTTTACAGCCTATTAAGCCTGTCCTCGTGAGAGACAGATACTGTCCATATAGGTGAAAGGGATATTTGCACGGGCTCCTGGACAAAGAGGATGGTGTGTGTCTCTGCGGCACAGTAAACCACAGCGTGTCCCCAAAGATGCCAGTTAGCCTTTCATCAGGGGAAAAGGAGAAACAGCACCGGTGTGACGACCAGATGGTCAAGATCATTGAGTTTTTTTTATGTGCAAGTAACATGACCTCAGCACTCTGGGTTTCACATGTATCCTGCAGCTTACACACACACACACACACACACACACACACACACACACACACACACACACACACACACACACACACACACACACACACACACACACACAACACACACACACACACACACACACACACACACACACACACACACAGAAACATAAGTGTACAAATGACAATTGACAATTGTAGCCCACAGCTATAGACAGTGAATGAAGAGCAGACCTGCTGTGGTCCATTCACAGCGCGCAGACGGTTTAGTTCATGGTCACAAAGGTTATGTGGTACAACAGCATCAGGCCACACCAGACTCACACATCCAGGCAGAGGAAGAGCGGTTGGGCACTATCCCAGATCCATCCTATCTATTGATTGAGGCTGTGGAGTCCCAGCAGACCCCTTTTAATGGATATCCAGACGACCTCCTGGACACACTGGCATACTGGCTGCCTCACTGAGAGGCTGCTCGTCCCGTCCTCACCATGCTCTCACCCAATCCTCTGGCCTCTCCACTATAGGGTGGGGATTGGGGGCAGACCGCCTGAGCCCACCCTCTGGCCCTTCATACATCACGCAATCCTCCTGCAGCTGTTTTTTAAAATGATGTTATCCTTGTTATTGGTTGGAGTGTGGAGGTTTTAATCCTGGACTCACACCAGGAGTCTCCCTGTGAGTTCTCATCTGCAGCACACCCTTAGGGAACGCACCCCTTCCTGATTGGCACCCAGAGAGCGAGTCTACTCTAATTATCAATATAAATACACCTGCTCTATCTTTCTGGTACCATCTTATTACAACACTTGTATTGTTTTTTTATATTCAGACCTGGAAAATGTAATATTATATTGTTGCTCCATTCTGTGTCATTAAAAGGCAGAAGGCGTTGTCACTCAAAAATGCTAAAATATTCATGCTGATCACTCTAAAAGAGTCACATGCCTTGCTCAGTCTGTCATATAAGCCAAAATGGTAGACTGTGTGTTTGTTTTTGTCATTACAGTTGTAACCCAGTTAAAGTGCAGGGGAAACACATGTGATGTGGAATATTAAATTGAATTTAATTAGATGGGGTTAAACTGCACAAGTATCTACAGAGTGAATTTAAAACATCCCTTGGGAACACCAGGAAACACATCAAGAGATTTCACGGATATTTTCTCTAACTGCATTTTAAATATCAGTAACCAACTCAGTTTGTCACGTATATAAATATAAGCCTATCTATTTTCTAGGGGGTGAGAAATTAAAACAAACACACGGTGAAGCAGTAGACCATCTAATGTTTTCTAAAACATCCCCAGAGTTCGCCTTGTCATTCAGGAAGCCTTATGCAACACATACTTGCTATACATCCCACCATGCAAATGCACAGATGGTGATGATAGGCTAATCTTGAGTTAGACTGACAGTATGAGAAAAGCTGAAAACATGGACATTAGTTGTTGCTCAGCACTGCGTGGCAATTAATAGACCGGGTCCAATGTGTCCTGAAAGCTGTATTTAGGCTGGTGACCCATGTGTAATAATAATTTAAAACTCACTCACTGAAAATAATGATGTCATATGAGAAGTGCTTCCACTTTTTATTTTCTTCTTCATATTTTTTTTACTAGTGTAGATAAATCCAACTGTACAGAATGTTATTCAAATTAAGGGAAGTTCTGGGTACTTTGCTACCAGTTTGAAACCTTATAAATCTCTTAAAAGGAAAGGGGTGTGACAAAAATGCAATATCTGTATTAATATATATTTTTTTTTATTCAATAATAATACTATTTTCATCACTGCAGTTTGAGTCTTTGTGTTGTACTACAACCATGCCGTCAGGCGTGGTTTCTGTCGACATCTTGGGGAGTCTATACGCGAGCAGCGCGGTTCTTTGTTCACGGGGCTGCTGCAAACCCTTGTTTTTTTTAACGGGAAATGTGCGAGGGCTTTTTTGATATTCCCCCGCTGCATAGGGTCTGCAACGCCTGTCTGACAACTCCCTTTCTCCTCTCCTCCGCGTATACAGCCCCTCACCCCCGCCCCCCAGACACCCTATTTCCCTCCTATACATAACATCCTCATGCGCAACGGCGCCGGAGACAACAACGCGGTGACCTGCCGCAAAGCACGGTTACATGGAGGTGGGCGGACCCCCCCCAAAATGTACCAAACTCCTTTACTCCCCCAAAAAATCATGTCATATGGTCCACGCTCCCCCTCTTAGAATAAGGAGATGCACGTTTTTATCAACTGATAAAGTTGTCTTTTCAACAGCAGAAGCAGCAACAGAGGACCATGTGCGCACCGAACAAGCACCTTTTCATACGCAACTGTTTACATCCTATTCTTACATAAGTCACCTACATGCGGTTTTCAGGCTGCACTGCAGCTAGGGCTATGAACGAATTTGCAATGGCGCGGGATGTAAACGGTGAGGTGTTTTCTTCTTTTCTATAGGAGACGTGAGGGCTGCTCGGTTTGGGATGCCATGAGCTGGGGAACCTGAGACGGAATGGTACAACGGGAGGGCGGCTCGTTTTGTCTCGGCGAGGAGGGGAGCTGTGTAAACCAGACTGGGTGGAGCAACACTTCGCCCGCCCCATCTATCGTGCAGACGGCCTTGTGTCCCGTTTGCCTGGAGCTCGGAGAGAGACTACTGTACTGAAAGTCTGGCGGAGAGAGAGAGGGGGCCGGTCTATGGGAGGGACTAGCGCAAAGGGGGGAATTGGAAGGAGGAGGGGGTGAGGAGGAGGAGGCGGCACGGGTGCTGTTTCTCCAGTCTCTTTCCCCTGTCTTTGTCTCACACACTCTTTTGTTAGCCATGCCTAGCCTGCTGGTTCTAGCAGGGATCATGGAGAAAAATGGGGGCTATGCCGGGGATCTGGCTGGCTCCGGCTTCGGAGGCGAAGGTCTCCTGGTGCCGCCCGACGAGGAGGAAGACGACTCCCGTGCCCTCAGGGTCGCGCTGGGCCAGTTGTCTCTGCTGGGGCTCGGGGAAGGCGAGGACGGCGGCGGAGCCCCAACAACAGGAGTACAGGACCGGAGTAACAATAACAACAACCACCACAACCACACGAACAACGTCGGCGGTTGCGTGGACTCGGCGATCCTGCAAGGGAAGAGCAAGTTGTGCGCCCTGTACGAGAGCTCCTCAAGTGAGACGAAAGGACGAGGCTGCAACATAACAGAATGCGTCCCAGTGCCCAGCTCTGAACATGTGGCCGAAATAGTGGGGAGACAAGGTAAACCGCTGGCTTGCAAATTATTTCCCTCCAAACTTGTGCTTTTATCCCGCTAACAGTGCTGCATTATCCCCGCCGTGGTTTCCTGTGTGCTTTGTTTTTTTGTTCACTAACTGTTACCTGGTGTTATTTGACAAAGAAAAGGGAGTGGTGTGTGTGTGTGTGCTCGCGTGTTTTTTGTACTCCCCCGAGACATCAGCCTCCCACTTTTTCCTGCTAGCAAGTTCTCTTGTACTCATCATTACACTCATTAGAACTAGTCGGTCGTTGCTGTGTGTTTATTTCTTGCTTTAGAGTGATTTTTTGTGCACAGAGGTAGGAGAGAGCCCCGTTCTCTCCTGGGCGAATTATTCTACATCCACGCCATCAATGTCAGCGCACAGACACACACTGGAGCACGGAGAGCACTTCCTTTGTCGTCTGAGACGCGCCAGACTGTTCAAAAAGGCAACGTGCTGCTGGCGAGGAGAGGAATGTCTTTTACTTTGAGTTAATGGCTCGGAAAATAACCAAATATTAAACATTTAGTCTGATTGATGGAATATGTGTGGCAGCTCGTTGTTTATGTTGCGCACTGCCCCAGTGACACAATTGGACAATAGAGCAAGCGTGCTCCACTTGTTTTTTCTGTTGTTGTTATTCTCAATTGAGTGGAGTTGTAAAGTTCAATAATGTTATAGGTTTTTGTTCGTTTTTCTTACACGTGGAGGTTTTTTAATGAACAAAGACCTTAAGTTGAATGACAGCAGCTGTCAAACAAAGGTGTGAAAGTCGGGGGGGTGAGGGGAGGGGCGCAATAAGACTGTGTTGCTGCTTGGCACACGGGATGGCCTTAAAGGGTGACTCAGCGATAAGTGGCTCCAGGAATTGTGACTCCTTTGGAAAACACAAAAAACATATGTTTGTGCTTATTTGGAGTTAATTGGATAGGTAATTTCCACTATATGCAAGTTCCATATTTGTGCACAATGGGGCTGCTAAAAAGCTTAAACCTAAGTTGGATTTGAAGCTTGGTGGTGGTGTTGGTGTGGCTGCACCCATTGTTGTGATGAACCCATGGGTGAGAGGGGCAGAAAACAACAAGGATGGGGACGGAAGGGCAGTATAGCATCCAAAAGCGGAATGGGAGTCACGCCTTGGCGCTCAACACAAGGGGCTCCTCATGAGCCCCACTTCACTGCACACTCTCAATACCACATGGTTGTCTGTCAGGAGAGGGAGGAATAGGGGGCTGGACTGAGAGAAGTACAAAGACTGCAGGGTGGGTAAGGTACCTTCAGCAAATCCTGATTTGTCTTGCAACGAAAACAAACAGGTCTTGAATATTGTCACAGGGGGCTCAGGTGAGTTCAGATTGCTTATTTTGACTCCCCTTTCTTGCTTCTTCGGTGGTAACCTGGATTTAGTTTGTGCTGCTAGCTGCCCCTTGTCTCTCATTGCGGCTCCTGTTTTTACTCTGAAGTGTAAGTTTTGAATTTTAATGGGGTAACTGAAGACAGCCGAAGGGTGGATCCAGTGAGGACAAGTGCAGCGAGGGGGCTCCTTTGACTTGACCGGGAAGAAGTGCTGATTTTGGGAGATTTGAGATGAGCTGCTTTTGATTCAGGCCCTTCGTTAGTCGGCGTGGACACCCCCTTGTTTTCGGCACCGTACATCACAGCATGCCTAGTAAATCTAGTAAACGTAGCATCTTGCCATGAAGAAAGGGTTTGATAGGATTGTTTTCTCCTGTCAAAGTAACAGGCAGTGATTCCCCAGGATGCTCTACTACATTTTGTTGGTGCCCCTCAAATCAAGGATGGCTTTATTTTGAATCACATTCACAGCTCAACAGTTGCAAAAATAAATTAGACTCTATCGTTGCCTTTTTGGTTGTGGATAATCATTAAATTGATACTTTAAGTTGGACTAATTAAAAGGGGTAATGTCGTATGAGAAAAGGAATTTAGCAGTCACTCTTTGATCCCTTTATTAGTGTAATACCACGCAATGAACACAAAGGGTATTTTCAGATTTTCGGTATGAGCAATACTAAACCTTCAGAGCATCACTATCCCTCTGTCCGTACCTCTGCTCCCTGAGAAGTGAGTGTTCCTGGAAAAAGTGGAGCTATTAAGTAGCATTAGAGCGACATTCATCTTCAACTTAAGGTGTCTTTGAACCTTTTGTTACCTGCTGCTGTGATTTTCAGATAGGAGATGCAAGTTGTGATGTGATGGGAGTCTGGAAAGATGAGCTCAGATTTGTTCACTGAGTAGATGTCTAATGGATCTTGTTTGTCCAAAGAGATGCACCGGCCTCTTTAAGACTCGGCAGAGAAGAGAAGTGGTCAATAAATGCGGAAGTCTTAATGAGGGAGCTGCCTACATTTCTGAATGAAACTTAACCGGAGTGATGCTGGATGCAGCCTTCATGGAGTGTAATATAAACAGAGCCTTATCATGTTTCTCTTCAACTTAAATACAATCCTCCTGAATAAATACAGATTTTCTCTATGTCCTCTTTTGTCCCATTACAGTGCCAGGTAATTTGTCATGAACTACCACTACCTCCCTTAAAAGCACTTAATAGAGTCAACTACTACATTCTGAACAGAAACCGGGCAGACGTCGAGGTATAAATGGCCCAAAAACAAAGAATATGTGGGATGACTGTAATGTAAGGTTCAAGGAGAGGTCAGGAAGTGCATCTAGCAAAACAGCTATGTCGTTGCTGGGAAATACCTCGGCACCAAGGAATCTTAGAAAGATGTGTCTGATTCAGGGCTAATAAATAAGTGCACTAATGCTTAAGTGCTGGAAACCTCATAAATCATGTTAATTACGCTGTGTATCCTTTGCCAGAAAAAACCTGCAACATAATACGTTAAACTGGTCATAATTGGTGAATAAATCTACATTTTAAAATATCTATTAGCCCAGGTTGATAACAAAATGTTAACTTGATTTGTTAGTCAAGCTATCTAACTGATGTATCATATTTACCTATTTTAAAATGTTTGTTTTTGACTCTGCAGGTTGCAAGATCAAAGCCCTGCGGGCTAAGACCAACACCTACATCAAAACCCCCGTTAGAGGAGAGGAGCCGGTGTTCCTAATCACTGGCCGGAAGGAGGATGTTGCCCTGGCCCGCCGTGAAATCATCTCTGCCGCAGAGCACTTCTCCATGCTCCGGGCTTCCCGCAACAAGCTGGGAGTTTCCTTCAGCGGCTCCCCGCCCACTCCTCTGCCCGGTCAGACCACCATTCAGGTGAGAGTGCCATACCGCGTGGTGGGGCTGGTAGTCGGGCCTAAAGGCTCCACCATCAAACGCATCCAGCAGCAAACCTGCACTTACATTGTCACTCCCAGTCGGGACCGCGACCCTGTCTTTGAAATCACAGGGTCGCCCAGCAACGCCGAGCGGGCCCGCGAGGAGATTGAAGCACACATCGCCTTCCGAACAGGAGGCCTGCATGACCACAATAATGAGAATGACTGTCTGGGGCCGAATGGTGGCAGCAGCCCGTCGGGCAGCAGCGGTGGTCTGGAGAGCCGGCTACAGCAGGTGTGGGGGCTGCAGGGGGGCCAGCGCAAGCCTCTCACCAGCAGCTACCGCCAGAACTTCTCAGAGGCCATGGTTGGAGGGGTAGGAGGAGGAGGCGATGGAGTGGGAATCTACAATAAGAGCAACTTCTCCAGCTCCGGAGAAAAGCCCTGCTCTTATTTTGGATCAGAGAGCACCCAGAGCTGGGGTGACCCTGACTACCCCAAACAGGTGGCCTTCTATGCCCAGCAGCGCTCCAAGAGCTTCGGGGGGCTCCCGCTCCCCCTGACCAGACTCTCCCCTGGCTTGTCCGAGTCTTGCGGAGGTGGAAACAACAACAACTCAGTCACCAGCATTGTGCCTGTGTCCGGCTCACCTCATGCCCAGGCCCGCCGCGCCCACAGCGAGCCCATCTCAGCCGGCGATGGGTTCCCCGGCCGTCTGCCAGTGCCGGACTCGCCCCCGGCCACTGTGCGGGAATGCATGACCTGCTTTGAAAGCAAAGTGACGGCTGCCTTGGTGCCATGTGGCCATAACCTCTTCTGCATGGAGTGTGCCATCCGAATCTGTGAGCTCAACCACCCGGAGTGCCCAGTGTGCCACACCCAAGTATCACAGGCCATCCGAATATTCTCTTAAGAACCACATCAGTTTTTATCATTGGTTTTGTCAGTGTTTGTTCAATAATTATTTACTGTTATTATGATTATTATTATGATACACATTTTTTGTTTTTCAGAAAATTTACAAACAATCAAGCAGATATTTTAGAAGGCACTGCTTGCTTTACTAAAAAGTATAAGAAATATTTTTAAGTTTTTCTTTTATATATATATATATGCATATATATTTTATAAAAGTTTTGTTTATAAGAGAAGTATAGTACCTTGCATTTTCAGTTTTTTGACTGCTGCTGTTTTTCATTCATGAATCTCAGTGTAGGCAGAGGTAGACAGTAATGTGAACATTTTATTATTCAAATTTTTTATTTTACCATGAAGTGGGTTTATATGGAAGGAAGAAGATGATTGTGGAGGTACCCAATCTGCACCTGACTGACCCAGAAAGTCAATGTTGTTATTAGAAGGAGAAAAAACCGAATTTTCATTGCACCTTACAATCATCTTGGTCTAAAATAGGATTTCAATCATACCTTGGAATTTCGAGAGCTGATGTGAAGGTAGATTCAGCCTTTTACTTTTTACTGTGATCTGATATAATTGGTCCAAAATGATATTAATTTTAACAAAATGAAAACGTTAATAGATTGAACCAAGTCAAAGCCTTGTAATCTCTACAAGTAAAGAAAAGACGGCCCTCTTATTTCATACTTTACCTTAAAGTCTTATTAACCAGATTGATGTTAAAAGGAAATAGGACATGACATCATTTATTTATGGTAACTAGTAACATTTTATTGGCATCATCATTCACAGAGATAGATGAAAGTTGTATGAAGTATCAGCAACATTTTCTTTTCAGTAGCCATTGATTACACTTTGGTCACTGCAGTTTGTTGTAAAGATTCAGTAATGCTTGCTCCTCGTGGCACTTGAAAAGCATGTGGTTCCTCGGTTGGCTTAAAGCACTGATTTAATTTGTGAGGCCGAAAGCCTTGGAATTCATCCAGTTGGCTAGTTCTCCATGTCTGTCTCCCCAATAGACGTGTTTCAAAGCCACCTTAACCGCGCTTTATTGTCTCGTGTGGTCATTTGGCCACAGTCGCTGAACAATATAGGACACAGCAAGAGCCCCAGTCAACAAGCATTTCTCTGAGGTGTGCACCGTAAATAAAGAGGAGAATTAGAGTGTGGACAGAAGCCAAGTAGAACTGTAAAACGCTTCCTAAATCAGCAGCAGATTCAAATAGTTGACACTGTAAAATACAGAGTCCCAAATCAGTAATCCTCGCTCCACGTCCGCAATAATAACAGCATTATGTGCGAGCTCCGAGGGGCCAGCTGTCCCCCCCCCCCCCTGTAATTAGTGAAGCTGTACAGGAGCAGGTGTTTCACGGCACACTGTAGCTGTGACCCCGAGTTGGAGGTCTCGCCTAGTCCCCTTTCTTTCTCTCCTTTCTTTGGGAGTGGCTTTTATGTCCCCTCGTGCTTACAGTTTGATCGTTTGCTTTCGAGGCCTTTCTGAGCGGGGCGTATTGTCCTCGCTCGGCAGCAGCGTGGGCCGCAGAGTGCTCGGACACGGCCCGGATCTACTCATTCATAATTAGGCAAATGGGTTGGTCCAGGTGCGGACCGTGTGGGGACTCTAGGGCTGTATGAGTGGTACGACAGGGTCCCGCAGTGAGCCCTTTACCGCCCCGCCCCACTGTTACAAGCACAGAAGGGGCAGGATGGTCTGGATGCAGCTGGGCGAATGGGACCCCCTCCTTCCACTCCCTCTTGCCCCTTCCTCCCCCCCTTTCCTCTCCTTTTCTGCTGCTCTGAGCTATCCCTACTGAGGAGTAGGGGGCCTCTTTTGTCCCTAAGCACACACACACACAACATTTGAAAGACACTAGCTGAATTTGGCAGCGCCAGTGAAATGAATGGAGGCTTAGGATAGAAATAAATTATCTACAATTATCAGGGGATACCCCAGTTACCTGTTTTCAATGTGATTTGCTGTTTACTTCTTCCAAATTATGAAAACGAACATACATAATGATTCCTCGATTTTCACACTGGGTGCAGTCAAAGCGCCTCCTTCACTCCTTGAAAGCACCGCCCCAAAATGTGGATGGGGTCCTGTAGATCGTGTCAGCACGCTACTATATGGGACATCCTGCAGCTGCCCCTTCACTTTGGACACCCGGGCTTCAGCCAGTGGCAGCCCCCCC